GTGTTCAATTTCTAAACACTTAAATCTAAACACGTCTTAAATCTAAACACGTTTAGATACAATACATGCTTAGACGTAAGTGTTTAGCCGTTAAACACAATCTTAAACATGTTTAGGTCTAAACACGTAATGGAAGTGTTTATTTTCTAAACGCAGTTTTTACAGTGTAGGGAAACGTGACGAAAATTGTGAAGAATGGCTTCAAATTTTATCTAATGAAAATTTAAAATTGTGTACATTAATAATGTAATAATAAGAAAGAAAAAGAAATTGGATTGGAAACAGAACTAGAAAACTGACCAGTCAGCAAGGGCCCCGCCATGGGGTAGAATTAAAATGGTGCAGCTTACAGAATGATTAATAAATGTACGAAGAATAAGCAACAGCAACTGTATTCTTAAAATTTCAAGATAATTCCTGAATATTCAAAAACCTGAAAATAATATCCTTGTATTTACATTAGGCAGTAAAGAACAACTTAACATTGAATGTATATTTAAACAATTATGAAGCTTGTGTTATATAAAATGCCAGCCTTCAATGAATGCAAATATCATGAAGGCTTGACCTTAACTTCAAACCAACAGCAATTGCAGACAAAGGTTTTCATCAATCTTAAAGTGACAGATAAAGAAAAGCCTACTAAATTTTTTGCAGCAGGCTAGATAATTAATCCCAAGGGATTAATTGTACCTCTCTCATCATTTTCTTCTAAATTTACAATAAGAACTTTTTCAGTATTAATGATAGAATGGGGTTTTTATACAACTACATTAAAAATTAATCATATTCTTGAATTAATATATTTTTTAAAAAGTGAAAAAAGTGAAAAAAAGTAAATAAAAAAATCTTCTTTAATCTATTTCTTTTTTTTAGAATTCAATGGAATCATAACTATCAAACAAAACTAAATAATAAAAATTTATATTTAAATCCACATTTCAGAGTGTTCATAGCATTCCAAATTGATTTAACTTCAAAACAAACTTCATTTGCAGACAGAGGTGGTAATTAATCTCAATGTGATGGATAAAGATAATGCTCTGGATTTTCTTCAGGAGGAAAGCTAATTAATCCCAAGGGACTCCTAGCAGCATTCAGTTTACAATGGGAACATCTTCAGCAGTTATCTCTCTTTGCCAATGCATTCTTATATAAAGTTAAGGAATCTACCCCACCACCCCAGCTCCAATCCATGGGACATAGAGAACCAAACTAAGCATCAAAATATGTATTTCTGCCTACTGAACTACCGTACCAAATTTGTACTTGATTGGGCAACCATAAAAAAAGTTGCTTGTTCATTCTTATGCATAGTTAAGGATTCTACCCCACCACCCCAGCTCCAAACCAGAAGACATAGAGAACCAAACTTAGCATCAAAATATGTATTTCTGCCTACTGAACTACCGTACCAAATTTGAACTTGATTGGGCGACCATAAAAAAAGTTATTAGAAAAAAAACAGAAAATTTGTGGACGGAAGAGTGACAGACGGACAGACAGACAGACAGACGGACGGACAGAGTGATTACTATAGGGCACCCGCAAATCCTTGCGGGGCCTTAATTATTTTTGTAAATTTCTCTGAATTATGTACATTTACATGAGCTTGCATATTAAACCCTGGAGTCTCCAAGTTGATAAAATAAAGTTTTTTAACCTATTTTTCATCAGGGGGCTACCTTTTAAATTACTTCTTTTCACAATTAATTAATGAAATGAAAATTTTCGTTTTTAAAAAATTTCATATATTTTTACTAGGTCTTTAGCCCCCCCCCCCCCCCAACTTTCCAGGCGAAAAAAATTATAATCAAGAGGACATTTTCCGTCAAGAGTTGCCTGATATCAATTCAAAATCAATTAATTGTATTTTTTCAACATTATTTCTTTTTTTTTAAATGGATACTATTATAAGCTTTAAACATAATAATTTAAAAACAAATGCCTGTGATAAATATAATTTAAAAAATTGAATAAGAGAAAGTGCATTGCATTGTTGAGAAATCAGATGTAAGTATGTCTTTCCTTTTGTCGCGAAAAGTGGCGAAAAATAATTTTGGTCCAGTGGGAGCCCTGGGCAACTTGCCCCGGGGGTCATGATTAGAACAAACTTGAATCTACACTACCTGAGGATGATTCCACATGAGTTTCATCTTTCCTAGCCCAGCGGTTCTAGAGAAAAAGATTTTTAAAGATTTTTCCTATATATTCCTATATAAAACTTGGGTCGGCCATTTTGGCCCCACCCTTGCCCCGGGGGTCATGATTTGAACAAACTTGAATCTACACTACCTGAGAATGATTCCAC